CGGATGAAAAACTTTTTGTCTTCATTTTTCAAACTGTTTGGGTGAGAAAGTTAAACCAAAATCGCTCTTGTCCCTTGGAGGTTTTGTCAAGATTTTTGAATTTTGAAAACCTAACTTGGATTTTTCTACAACTCTGCAGAGTGGTTATAAACGAATTGAAATTTAAAAAGAAATAGTAATGGTTTTTTTATATTTGAAAGGCTTTTTCTTACTACTCAGTACAAGTAGCTTTTATAATAATTACCTTTGCGTCATGTTCCGCACGACTGGCTTCAGGTGCAGCGTACAGCGCTGCTCCTGGATTTGCTGTGTTGCACTTTTGCATGAAATTGGCTGAACCATAATCTGATACTTTCGCTCTTCTTACTGCACCATTTTCAATCCATAACAATACGTTGGCACTGCTAACATCACGATGGATAACTGGGCTTGGCTTTTTTGAATGAAGGTAGTTGAGGCCACGTGCCACATCTAAGGAAATTGATTTAATTTCCTGGTACTCCATCCCTGATTTTTCTCTTGCACGTTGCTCGAGTAATGTACGCAAAGTCATATCCATCAGTTTTGTCACAATTAAAAGATGGTGCTGATCATTCTCCGTTGCACAAATAAACTGTAGTAAATTAGGATGTCGACATTGTGATGCGATTTTTATTTCACGCCCAAGGATTTCCTCGTAATGCGGAGATAAAATAATTTCTTGAAATTCTTTAACTGCTACTTTAGGTCCATAAAAGTCTCCTATATAAACAGTACCCCACCCACCTCTTCCTAATATTTCCTTGGAAACTATTACTGATCCCCTTCCTTCGCAGAAGCTGAATATAGTATCTTCTTTACGTTGCTCGATTTCAATTCTCAGGTGATCGTTTTCCTTTTGGACTTTCTGGTTTCTTCTGCTCATGTTGGCATTTTCTCGTCGAAGTTCAAGAATCTCGTTATTAATGTTGAGGTTTTCTCCTGGAAGTCTCTGAATTTCATTATTTGTGTTAACGATTTCCTGTTGATTGACAAGTTGCTGATTTTGGTTGTTCTTGTTGACGTTTTCTTGTCGACTAACATACATTTCATTCCTCCTTTTGCTTTTCTTTTTTCGAAGTTGTTGAATTTCATTCTTGTTGAAGTTTTCTAGTATTGTAGTTTCTTGAAGATGCTGAATTTCAATTCTCAGGTCAGCGTTTTCTTGTTGAACTTGCTGCTTTTCTCTATTCATGCTGATGTTTTCTTCTCGAAGCTGCTGAATCTCGTTAATCTTGTTGAAGGTTTCTTGTCGAAGTTGTTGAATTTCATTGTTGTTGTTGGTGTTTTCTTGTTCAAGTCGTTGAATTAATGCTGAATAATAAATGGAAAATTAAGGATGATGGTTTAGCAAGCATATTACCATAGTACATAAACAACATAATTATAAGGGTCATCTTATGTGACCGATTAAAGGAGAAGACAAGTATAAGATTATTGAATTTGGAACTAGAAGGAACTCGGAGACTACATACCTTCGCCAGCGAATTAAGTGATGTGTCATGCATAAATTATACAATGAGTTGCTTACGTATTCAGTTTACTCTGTCCAGCAAAGCAAGACAAACGTTTGATAATTTAATTTTCATCCAAACTTGACCAAATTTAAGAAATCTTTCCTCGACAATGTCCATTAGTAACACAAATTTTTGTATTAATACCTTTGATAGTTTTTGAGTTATCATGCTAAGAGACAGACACATACACATGCACATACATACGCACACAAACGCGGATAAAAACACAATCTCTTGGCGGAGGTAAGAAGCGTCCATCTTACCCGCAAAGGATCAAAACTCTCCGAATCCACCTTAATACAATCCTAATGTTGAGTGATCACTGCTTATCCTAACTACACTGATTCTAACACGATATCGTAATCTCCGTGAAAATGCTGTATATTTTACCCGTCCAAGTGTGGATACATGTGTTTTCCTCATTGATTATCATCAAGTCAAAAAATGTTGTGAAAACTAAACTGTATGACTTCTCCATTTTACCATGAGTTTCTTGTGCGCTATTGGTCCTGGGTCCTTCTTTTTTCTCTGTAGCTTTCTAAATGAATAACGCAGCAACGTTACCTCTGGGTTGCATTTAAAGCTACGTTTATACAGGTTTTGCCGAATGTTAACGACGAATGTTGCCAGATGACGTTGACAGCGTATTTTTCAATATTTTAAAGGGCAGATAAAAGGAAACGCTGTCGGAGCTCACTGCCTCTGACAACCCAGCATGTCTTATCAAAAAGATGCCACTGCTACCGCCAATCCGATTGTTGGAAAGACCAGGATTTGTAGTAAACAATTTATTTCAAATATTATATTACCTGCTTTACATTTGGTGGCGATTTTCTTGGACGTGGCTTTGGAAGTGGTTTTTGAGGGGGTTTTTCGTGGGATGCGATGGCTGTTGTTGACGAACAGTAACTTCTTCTTCGCACTGGTTGATTCTGGACGCAAGACGCAAAAAATACCGTTAAACCTGTTGATAATTTAAATGTTTATTAACTTAATTATATACGTTCTATATCCTGAGAATATCGAATTGAATATGTTTATCACCTAACGTTGGACACATCAAAACAGGAAGTATGTATTTTTATAATTTATGCATAAAGAAAGAAAGAAAGCATAATACTTTTGCTTGGATTGCTTCATGACGGTATTTGTGTGTACAAACTGGACATAGTCGACATACTGTTGAGAACAAAAGTTCGCAAACAGTTACACAATATAATTAGTGCTCTATAGTCCTGAGACAAATCATGAACATGATATATTTAACTCTAATTTACATAATATAATTAGCACTAACGAATCAAAGACAGCTCAAACTTTTCTGGATTTTTTTAAATGCGGCCAGGCAGGGATTTGTGTCAGGCCCTCTATTCCCTTCCATCCACCCGCATTTAAAGAAGGGCAAATATAGCCTGATACTCCTATCAAAACGATCAGTGAAATATCTTGTGATTACAAGTGTAAATTATATGCAATTTTAACATTTATATATGACTGTATAATTGTATATTTTCGGCGCAACGTGCAAATGAATGCACTAATGTGCAGTTATCACAGATTATGCATTTCGTTTACAACATATATACCAACAAAAAATTATGTTTCTGAAAAGGCATTTCCTGCATTGTGTAGGCACTTGGATAAAAATGTATACATCGTTACAAATAATTTTTAACCGTATGAACTCAATGTATTCAAATCATTGTTTATAAGCACGGCATGGTTCTGCCCGTCAAGGAGAGAGGGCTGGTGCTCAGACTGGGTTGTTAATAAATAAATGACCATGCAACTTGACATTTTAATATAAATGTGTGTCATTTGTGTATAATGAGGTATTAGTGATGTTATTCCCTGATCCAAGATGACGTCATAATTTTTTCATCTCACTGTCTGCAGTTCTTTGCCACAAGTAAGTGGTCCTCGATCTATACCAAAAATTTCACGATGTTTAGTGGGCATGAAGATTTCAATTCTGGGGCCCATTCCTGCCAAATATAATGATAAAAATCGATAACACAGACTTAGATCAGAGAATATATTTGTCATTATGAAACTAAATCAGGACAAAAAATATTGTGTGAGAGATAAATAGACCCATGATTCTTGTTTCAATACAGAGCAAAGAAATAGAACATATGCTTCATTGTTCATGCATATAAAAGAATTTATACATAAAAGAAACTAGTCTCTACAATTTTAGGACTTCTTTCATTTAACAGTTTCATTGCATCCTAAAGTGCCCTAATCTATTAGTTTATTCAGTAACAATATATGAAATTATTAGAAAATCTATTATATAATTTTGTAAATCATCTCTCTCATTAATTTAACTTAATTATGCTTTAATTTCATTATGTTTGTAATTTAATCAAGGGTGGGTTGTAGCGAAGTAGTTGTAGTTCGCTACTGTAGCGAACTACAATTTTCAAGTAGCCAGTAGTTTTTGACTACTTTTTTAAAAGAGTAGCTGTAGTTATAGCGAACTACATTTTGCCAAAAAGTAGCCAAGTAGTTGACTACTTTTCAAACAGCGAATCGCTATTCGCTACTTTCTAAAATTGTTAGCAACTTGGTAGAATAGAATGATATTGAGACACGGTTTGCTTAAAATCAATACTTAATAGTCAATTTGCACTCTTGAACACTGTAGTGCTTACAAAAATGTTGCTTTGTGTTTACTGTTGCTACTCATAAGTCGAATTTTTATAGGTTACATTTCAGCCTGAGTTAGTAGATGCTCCAAATACAGTAACACTAAAAATATAGCGTAACGAAATAGCGAAATAGTTCGCTACATTTTTTAAGCTGTAGCTGTAGTCAGTAGCGAACTACCTTTGTTCAAAAGTAGCAGTAGTTGTAGCTGACTACATATTTTTGAAGTAGCTGTAGTTATAGCGAACTACAAAAATTTTGTAGTCAACCCACCCTTGATATTTTCAAGTGTACGAGGTTAAATAAAATAGTCGCTTATTATATATAGTGAGGTTGGTTCAATATATATATATATATATATATATATATATATATATATATATATATATATATATATATATATATATATATATATATATATATATATATATATATATATAATTTCCATACCCAGCGCAAGCAGAAAGATGTTGTCTGCCGCGGCTGCGGGGTGTTTGTAAAAGCCGGAACCCCACCCGGAACACCCGGACCCCACCCGGAACCCCTCCCGAAACACCCGGAACCCTACCCGGAACACCTGGAACCCTACCCGGAACCCCACCCGGAAAACGCTGGAATACGAGCTATGAAGCAACGCACGTGTTTCTCTATAAATTCACGTGTTTCGCATTAAATTCGGGGTGATATATGGTTACGATCTTTACTTTTTACTTGTATTGTTGTTTTTTTAAATAATTTTTCTCATGGGCAAGGATAAATATATTATGTCGGGCGGTACAGAATATCAAATGCATGAGTATTGCTTGTTTGTAAACGTGCAAACGAAGTTTCGCTCGAGGCTTTTGCCGCATGTACTATATTTCAGTTTCGTTTTCAATATTCTGCCGTACTATGTACCTGTGACTCTATTCTAAATTTAGTTGAACAATAACCAATATTTAACTTTGCTATCTTTTTTATTATTTGAATAATATGTTTGCATATGGTTATTTTGACATGCAATTGTATGAAACGGCGCCATGTATACCCTGGAGTCCAGAGCCTTCGACAGTAAATAATAAATTGAAATGTCGCGAAGGCTCTAGTTCAACGGGGCGATTCTTTGATTAAACCGAGCCAATCACAAAACAGAATTAGTGGTTTTAGTACAGATTCTGTACTAAATCCACTAATTCTGTTTTGTGATTGGCTCGGTTTAATCAAAGAATCGCCCCGTTGAACCAGAGCCTTCGCGACATTTCAATTTATTATTTACTGTCGAAGGCCTGGAATCCAGGGTACGCCATGTAGGAATTTAGAGGAATTATAAAGTTCATCCGTATTTATTACAATACGAATTCTCGTGGATTTTGGAAATTTTTCATGGATTTCTTTACTAGACTTACTCGTTTTTTGGAACTTTGAAAGACGTTTTAGTAATTTGGAGGCTGCTTTGTATATGACAATGACTGCAGCCTACAGTAAAAGTGCACGCGCGAGATCTCAGAATAACAGTATTATTAAGTAAGCCCCCTTGATGAGTGTGTACGCTCTTGGGGCAAAATCATTCTCATATATCAGAAATATGTTTAAATAAAGTAGCTAATATATTATATGTATTGCTAGAAATTCCCAAAACATTCATTTGTCATTGAAAACGTTAACAACCAACAAGCAGGATGATGTCATATAAATATAGAGTACGAGGCAAAACGTCCATGTTCCTTCGATCAACGGCAGTAAATAAATATTGTATTTAATATATTAAATTAAGGACTGTGTTGCTGTTGAAGTTATAACATGAACGTTTTGCCTAGTGGCTAGTGCTTTATATATACGACACCAGCTTGTTGATTTGGTTGTCAACGTTTTCAATGACAAATGAATGTTTTGGGAATTTCTAGCAATATACATATAATTTATTAGCTACTTAAGGCCGGTTTACACGACCAGTGTTTTGGGCACGGCACCCCTAAAAATGGGCACCCGTGCCCAAAATTTTAGGCACGGCACCTCTGCCTTTTGGCGTGTAAACGTGACAAAAATCGGCACCGGTGCCGCGAAATTTAAACGTGCCGAGACTTTCTCACGAGGTAGTCTCGGCACGTCTATCAAGGGATGCCGTGCCCAAATTTCGAAAAAACTAAAAAATGTGTTCGACATCGAGCATGCGCAAAACAAATTGTCCTCTTTCCAACATGGCAGCAAGCGGCGAAAAACTACAACTTGCCAAAAATTAAAAAAAAAACAAAGTTAAAAAACAAATTTAACACAGAATGTGAATGTTGCTCTAGTTGACTCGGAAATTTTGATACCACTGTTCTTCGCTGAATAGAGCAGTAACTATAGGTCGTAGCAAATAGCTGTCGTTCGATGCGTCCATACATCTCAAATTCGTGGCGGGTGAATACAAGATGGCACATTTAACATTTATGCGATAAAACAACTCCTTTCGTCTTTAAGGGCCTGTTCATATGGGCAAAGGTTATCCCGGGTAACGAGAAAACTTTTCGACTAGCCAAATATACTTTTGTTCTGTTCACATGCATGGAGAAATGTTATTCCGCTTACCGGGTAAAGTTTCCGGCTGTGACATAGCACTGAATATCAATTGACTGAAAAGTTACTGACACGACAGAAAGCTATCCTGCCAAGCGGGAACTGGAGTTGTGTTCGTATGGGAAAAACATTATCACTTGACAAGCGAGATCTCGGTACGTACACGGGAAAACGTTTTGTCTTATATGAACGTAGTGTAAACTAACTTTTCATATTATTTTCATATCAAGGCGAGATCTCGCTTGTAAACTTTTCGAAAAGTTTTTTCACTAACCAGGATAACTTTTACCCATATGAACTGGCCCTTAAAGTACGTTCCTAGTATTGAATTGGTTTTTCCCTCGATTTTCGGCTCATGTAATATTCTTCTTCGTTCCAATAAATATAAATATATAATTCTATTTCTGGCCGGCATATTTATTCTTTAAAATATACCGTCGTAAACGGAAAATAGAGGTGCCGTTTTCCGATGGGCACGCACTGAATATCAATTAAATTGAAAAGATGCTGATATGACAGAAAGTTATCCCGCTAAGCGGTGAAGTTGTGTTCATGCCGTATGGGAAACATTATCCCGGTCACGGCCGAGATCTGGTTTGTCAACAAGCGAGATCTCGGTACACGGGAAAACTTTTTGTCTCATATGAATGCAGTGTAACTTTTCATATTATTTTCATACCAAGGCAAGATCTCGTTTGTAAACTTGTCGAAACGTTTTCTTGCTAACCGGGATAACTTTTGCCCATATGAGCTGGCCCTTAAAGTACTTTTCTAGTATTGAATTGTTTTTTTTCCCCTCGATTCGGCTCATATAATACTCTTCTTCGTTCCAATAAATATAAATATATAATTCTATTTCTGTCCGACATATTTATTCTTTAAAATATACCGTCGTAAATGGAAAGTAGAGGTGCCGTTTTCCGATGGGCACGGTGCCTATCATAAAAGTGTGTTTACAAAATGTTGTCGTGTAAACGAGTAAATAGCGAAGTGGCGGTTTTGGCACAGTGCCCATTTTCAGGGGTGCCGTGCCCAAAACGCTTGTCGTGTAAACCGGCCTTTAATAATACTGTTATTCTGAGATCTCGCGCGTGCACTTTTACTGTAGGCAGCAGTCATTGTCATATACAAAACAGCCTCTAAATTACTAAAACGTCTTTCAAAGTTCCACGAGAATTCGTATTGTATATAATAAATACGGATAAACTTTATAATTCCTCTAAATTCTTACATGGCGCCGTTTCATACAATTGCAAGTCAAATAACCATTCTTAGTATAAATTTTGCATATCAAATGAGCTTTCGCGCGTTCTGATTGGCTAGTTGACTAGTAAATCTGAGGCATTATTTACCACCTGGGTAGTAAATAATGCTTTTCAAAAAGAATGATTCGGCAAGTTTGGTTTCAAAATCGACAAAATATTGAAAAAATCGTCCCAGAAAAAGAAAAAAAGCACAAAATGTTGTATTTAACTTGAAAGGTAGGATTTAGTATTATATTACTGTGTCAAACATATTCACGGACAATTTAAAACTTATTTAAAACTCCGAAACATTCGCTTCAAACGTAAATCTGAACCATAGTGGAAAGTTGGGCACTTTAACGGGAGATCTCCCGCGGCAGGCAAAGGTCAAAAACTGCTGATGCGGCAAAATCTTGCGGCAGAAAAACTGTAAAATTGATATTGCGGCAGAATTCTGCGGCAGAAATAGTTTAGAAAATACATGCGGCACAATTTGGGTGACATGCCATTGCTGTGTTGTATCAACACATCTTAAGATGATTAATCATTCGAAAAAAAGCTGTGTTGATTTTAATAGCACGTCTTTTTTTAAGAGTGAAGGCTTCAATGTTTACTGTTTAGTGGTCAGCAGTATTGCGTGTAGTCGTTTGATTTTTTACCTGCGGCAGCATATTATTGGCATTGCGGCAGGATAGAATGCATGGTCTTGTCAACTGCGGCAGTCTCCTGCGGCAGCCAGAGCGTACTTTCCACTATGGAATCTGAAATAGCAAAAAATATCCCGACTTTTGGGAAAAGCCGTGATATTCTTTTTAAAACAATTTTGTTTTGTATCCTATAAATATCTCAATTTGTACGATACTATTTCTTTTGACTATGTCGTGTTTTCATTGTGCTGTATGGTGTCCTTTCGCTGTATTGTACTATTTGTGTTTTTAAAACTTGTAAAGTGAAAAGTGTATTAAAACTTTTATATTAATTCGAACGATATAGTTTTACATTTCATTTTACCAAATTTCTCAGCCATTTCCTGAACAAATTAATGCTAAACAGAAACTATTTTTTAATTCTAAGTCTGGTAAAAAAGTCATTCCATCATTGTGTTTATATTCTAAGCAGAAATCGAGAAAAATAACTTTGTAATAAAGCAATAAAGTCGCACAGGAAGCCATTTTGAAAGCGTGCGTGTACAAGAAACACTGCAACACTAAACCGTAAACAGGTCGAAAACAGTTTTATTTCTGAATTTTAATTAAACTTATAGTTGGATAACTTGGATATTTTGTTTTATTCATTAAAAATTTATACTAAAACAATTATTCGCCTCAGGCTCGGTGATTACGGTGAATATTCACCTCGACTTCGTCTTCGTCTACCTAAATAGGTAGTCCAAGAACCAAAAAAGTGGTACGGGTACCAATTTTATCCGTGCCGTACCAAAAATTGAGCGTAGTGTATAAAACGGGGCTTTAGTTTGAAACTTTGGGGCGTCTTGAAAAATAAAAGTGCTGACGTCAGCATTATTTTCGAACGCCTTCAGAACTGTGTTAAACCTAGTTCCATTTGGTCGTTAGTTGCCGCTGGCACGACAAGTGGCTGATGTAATAGAGCTAGTGTCAACAAAAAACTCTGCAATCATTAAGACTGATTTGCGTATCACACAAAAAGACTATTATTATATTAGACAATTTCACATCTACCTTGGGACTTCTTATCTGATATAAACAACTGGCTCAAACTTGCATTTGTTTTAGAATTTGATTTTTGAATAAATGCTTGGTGGTATAAAATGGTCAATTTTAACTAAATTTTGTGTATGACACAGTTCGAGTGTACGGTACCAAAAATTGTGTACGGTACCAAAAATTGAGCGTAGTGTAAACGGGGCTTTACCGTCCCAAAGTTTCACCCACCGTCTGCGACGCAGGCTATAACTCAGCAGGAATTAATCATATTGATTCAAAATTTTTAGTGAACACTCGTAATAATGATATAAACAACATATAAAACTTCCAGTATAGAGTTATTATTTGTTGCTTACCGTCAAAATCCATCAATCTTGTAATAAAATATGTTGTCAGACGTCCATGTTTATAAACAGTCGCATGGCTACCATTGTAAAATATTGTGATGTTCCGATATATTCCGGGAAAATGTCGTGATATTCCGGCATATTCCGTGATATTCCGGCATATTCCGTGCTATATTCCGGCATATTCCGTGATATTCCGCCATATTCCGTGATATTCCGGCATTCCGGGTTTTCACAACGCCCGCAGAATTATATTGAAAACGAAACTGAAATATAGTACATGCGGCAAAAGCCTAGAGCGAAACTTCGTTTGCACGTTTACAAGTTTAGTTATCACGTTTACAAGTTTAGTTTAGTATCTAAAGTTCAGGAGCGATTAATCCATAACCAACTTTCATCGTATTTTGATGAAAATAACCTGTTGTGTAGATTTCAGTCAGGATTTCGAAAGAAACACTCAACAGAAACGGCGGTAACCCATTTTGCAGACCAAATTCTCATGGGCATGGATAAAGGGCTAGTGACTGGTGCCGTTTTCATTGACCTAGCTAAGGCATTCGACACAATCGACCATGATGTCTTAATTCATAAGCTGAAACATTATGGCGTATCCAATGAAAGTCTATTATGGTTTAAGGATTACTTCTGCGCAAGGAAGCAGTTTGTAACTATTGATTCGCATAGATCTGAAGAGCTGGATATCGCTTGTGGGGTCCCGCAAGGGTCAATTCTTGGCCCGTTATTATTTATCATTTACATCAATGATTTATCATCTTGTATGCGAAGCTGCTCAGTCAGTATGTATGCAGACGATACAGCAATATACTTTGCGGCCTCGACGGTTGATGTGGTGAATGATAACATCAATGAAGATTTAAATTGCTTATCTGAGTGGTTGAAAGATAATTACCTGGTGCTGAATATCACCAAAACCAAGTGTATTTTGTTCTGCTCACAGAGGCACAGTGAACGAAACAGAGCTCTTACCGTGAACTTCTTCGGGTCATGTATCGAAAGTGTTATCACTTTTAAGTACTTAGGTGTAGTATTCGATAGTCATATGACGTGGAAAGATCAAGCGGATCATGTATACAAAAAGGTTGCAGTACGAGTTAATGTCTTACGGCGTATTAGAACATTTCTAACGGAGAAAGCAGCAATACATGTTTACAACGGTATTATCCTGCCAGTGTTCGATTACTGTGACATTACCTGGAGTAGCCTTCTGCAACAAGACGAGGACAGATTACAGCGATTGCAACATCGCGCCGCAAGAATTATAACACTGAGTGAAAGATCATCCCAAGCGATGGAAAAATTAAAATGGTCTTCATTGAACTGTAGACGCTCTTACCATAAAGCTATATTAGTTTACAAATGTCTACATTCTTTAGTCCCGAATTATTTTTTAAATTATTTTAAGAAATTTAGTAATGTACATAGCTACAATACTAGACACAAAAATAGGCTAATACTTCCCAAAGTTAAATATAATTTTGGAAAAAATACTTTTATCTTCAGTGGGGTGCAGGTTTATAATATGCTCCCAGATCATGTGATGAAGGCTGAGTCCATTCACACGTTCGCACGTCTTGTACGAATTGTGTGTAATGAACTTTCTTATTGATGTGGAACATGGAAGTGACGGAACTGATTGCGACAATATTTTGTACTTTTATATATCATACCTTAAAATGTAATTCCTACAAATAGCTTATATCTAGACACAGGACCCCTATGGATACCAGCCTTCGTGCTGAAAGGGCCACCCTGTTTAAATAAAGTTTTTTTTCCATTTTTTCCATTTTTTTGATATTCTGTACTGCCCGACATAATATATTTATCCTTGCCCATGAGAAAAATTATTTAAAAAAACAACAATACAAGTAAAAAGTAAAGATCGTAACCATCTATCACCCCGAATTTAATGCGAAACACGTGAATTTATAGAGAAACACGTGCGTTGCGTCATAGCTCGTATTCCAGCGTGTTCCGGGTGGGGTTCCGGGTGTTCCGGATGGGGTTCCGGGTGTTCCGGGTGGGGTTCCGGCTTTTACAGACACCCTTTGTAAACAGCCGGTTTGAGCATGCGCAGATCTAATTATCCAATCAGAAAGCAAGATTTCTTGTATGAATTTACTATGAAATATACTAGCAAGTCCTGCCATTTGAAAATGGCAGGACTGAAACACGAGCGCGTGTAAATCAATATATTGCCCGGAAATGAGCTTTTATAGAGTTGCACTTGCTAGGTAACAGACACGGCAAGCTGTAAAATTGCGTAAATGTAATAGAATACGGAAAACTTTTAAAAAATAATAACGAAAAAGACGAGAAAATTATACAAAATAACAGTATGATAATAATAATTTTTTAAAGCTTCAAGGTAAATAAAGTAATGTTTTAGTAAGGAAATTTGGGGAAATTTTTAGTCCTGCTGGGCAGGACAAGCAGGACCGCTAGCTATGCCACTGATTGATTATATATACCATATTTCAGTTGCCATTTTGATTTTGATTTTTTAAATTATTTTAAGAAATTTAGTAATGTACATAGCTACAATACTAGACACAAAAATAGGCTAATACTTCCCAAAGTTAAATATAATTTTGGAAAAAATACTTTTATCTTCAGTGGGGTGCAGGTTTATAATATGCTCCCAGATCACGTGATGAAGGCTGAGTGCATTCACACGTTCGCACGTCTTGTACGAATTGTGTGTAATGAACTTTCTTATTGATGTGGAACATGGAAGTGACGGAACTGATTGCGACAATATTTTGTACTTTTATATATCATACCTTAAAATGTAATTCCTACAAATAGCTTATATCCAGACACAGGGCCCCTATGGATACCAGCCTTCGTGCTGAAAGGGCCACCCTGTTTAAATAAAGTTTTTTTTCCATTTTTTCCATTTTTTTGATATTCTGTACTGCCCGACATAATATATTTATCCTTGCCCATGAGAAAAATTATTTAAAAAAACAACAATACAAGTAAAAAGTAAAGATCGTAACCATCTATCACCCCGAATTTAATGCGAAACACGTGAATTTATAGAGAAACACGTGCGTTGCTTCATAGCTCGTATTCCAGCGTGTTCCGGGTGGAGTTCCGGGTGTTCCGGATGGGGTTCCGGGTGTTCCGGGTAGGGTTCCGGGTGTTCCGGGAGGGGTTCCGGGTGTTCCGGGTAGGGTTCCGGGTGTTCCGGGTGGGGTTCCGGGTGTTCCGGGTGGGTTCCGGGTGTTCCGGGTGGGGTTTCGGCTTTTACAGACACCCTTTGTAAACAGCCGGTTTGAGCATGCGCAGATCTAATTATCCAATCAGAAAGCAAGATTTCTTGTATGAATTTACTATGAAATATACTAGCAAGTCCTGGCAGGACTGAAACACAAGCGCGTGTAAATCAATATATTGCCCGGAAATGAGCTTTTATAGAGTTGCACTTGCTAGGTAACAGACACGGCAAGCTGTAAAATTGCGTAAATGTAATAGAATACGGAAAACTTTTAAAAAATAATAACGAAAAAGACGAGAAAATTATACAAAATAACAGTATGATAATAATAATTTTTTAAAGCTTCAAGGTAAATAAAGTAATGTTTTAGTAAGGAAATTTTGGGAAATTTTTAGTCCTGCTGGGCAGGACAAGCAGGACCGCTAGCTACGCCACTGATTGATTATGTATCGATCAATTCGAAACTTCGCCATCCCCCCCCCCGGGCCGACCCCGGGAATTTGAACTTTTTGAAATTTGACTGATCAAATTCTCCACCCTCTGTGCAAAAAATGTCTTCAAATGCCCCACTGTAACAAGAAATTAAGCGTTCAAATGCCCCACCTTCATATGAAAATTATGAAACAGTAAATACAAAAAGTACAAAATATACGGAAATGTTTTCGACAAGATAGCGAAATTCGCGTAGACAGTTTGGATACCTTGTGGAAATTTAACAGTTTTACACGTTATGTAGTACATACCTTCAAATAAAACACATAGATTTTCCATGCCCGTTTCTTTGAGCCAGTTTTTTCACAAAATTGAGGCCGTTTCCCTCGAAATCTGAGAAAACTGTATTTGCCGCCATTACGAAGTATTTCCTGTGCATGCAGGAAGCACGCGAAAACGGGCAACATTTTAAGACTTCCGGTTCAAATTCTCCACCCCGTTATCAAATGCCCCACCACATGGAAGACTTAGAACGTCAAATTCCCTACTCCCTGGAGAAGACTTGAAGTCAAATTCCCGGGGTATGCCCGGGGGGGGGGGGATGGTGAAGTTTCGAATTGATCGATACATTATATATACCATATTTCAGTTGCCATTTTGATTTTGAGCTCTTGTAGCGGTCAAAATTTGATACACTTAGGAAACATCCCTAGACCCTGCTAGTGTAGTATAAGTGTAGTATACTTTCCTACTCGTCCTTTGGCTATTAAATTCGCTTGCGATAAAAAACAACACGCATGGGTGCGCATATAAACGTCCAGTAGCTGACCTGTATCTCGGCTGTCTACATATCTCAAATTATCTCACTAAGATTAAATTCTCCTTACCTCACAGAAGATCAACTATTTCTTTTGGCTGCAATAAGCAGACTTAACTCAACAGTGATCGAAGCAAATAAAAGCAAATTGTTTTAATTAAAAAATTACAAAATCATGGTGCAAGTAAAAATCTTCGCACTTTACCAGATTGGTACTTCATGTATGCTCATTTAATTTACCATTGTTCGCCCGCGTGTTTCCAGCGGCTATCACGTTTTACGCATCATCTAGCGCATAACAGGAAATCGAAATCCCCTTCGAAAAATACGTTCGAAACTCGTAAAATTCTCGGCCGATTTTTGTCAAACCATTGAATAGATAGAGAATAATACCTGGGTGCGCGGAAACGCCAGAGTTTATATTTCGAGCTAGTGTTGAACATCATATATCTCCCGAGTGAGCGAAGCGAACGAGTGGGATATCATGTTCACACGAGAAACAAATCTGGTATTTCCAAGCATCCATACATTTTTCTGTTTATTATATAAAGGACAATCTTTGAAAAGCGATAATTTCTACAGAAAAGCGATAATTGAAAAGCGATAATTGAAAACAACTGAAAACATCCGTGGCGCTTTTTGATTGGCTTGCAAAAATCATATTTTCACACGTAAAAATATCGTATGTGTTTTAATAAATACGATTTTTCTCAGTGGCCAAAAACTCTATACAGGGTGTATAAATTACTATAAAAAAAAACTGAACAGATTTGAAATTGCTCTCAATTTCGCAAAACAGCCATTAGTATCCAGTTTTTTGCTGCCGAGCGTAGCTCGGCAGCACACTAATCTCTACTATGTCTCTACACGTGGTGTGCTTACCACGTGACCGCCGAGTTTATAGCTGCTACAATCTCGATTTATGTCATTCTGTCATCCACGGACGGGCCAAAACTAGCTGTTTTGATATTATTTTTTTGTTCCCGGGGGGGTTTGTTCACAACATGGCGACTGTTATAAACGGACAGAAATATAAAAATCATAAAATAATGCGAATTTCCATAAACATTCCGAGTAATATTTGTGAAGATGAATGGGTAAATAAAGCACGGTGTTATTTTGTGTCTCTGGCGCAAGAATGATCGACAATATTTTGAATAATTCAGGTAAGGATGGCTTTATTTCGTTCTCGTATAGTGATGTAGTCGTGCCGTGTGCCCTGTCTACCTGTCTGGTGATATATTTTATAATACATGAAGGCATTTATATTTAAATTCTGCTGTTTATACTTGTTTAGTCACTTTAGTGTATTAAACTTCGATATAGAGGCATTGAAACAAAATGATTTCAAGAATATATCGGCAATTATAATACCCACTGAATCACTGATCTATTCCCGACCAAATCGACAGTAATGATTAATGCCTTTATGCTGATACAAGAAGCAAATGAACTTTTAGTTTATTTGTTTGTTATGTCACTTATTATGTGCAAAGCCAAAGGCGGTGAGTATATAATAGTGTTCGGTACGTTCTATTTCTAAATGTTTATAGTTTAAAAACAAACGCGGGATGTTGTTAAATCAGGCTTAACAAGATTCCTAGCGCTACCCAGTGTGGATTGTTGTCTGCATATATGGACTTATCAGCAATTACATGTAATATAGCATATCAACTGACTTTTGTATAAGATATGACTTGTATAAGGCCTCAGTTATATATAAAGCCTATAAACATGATTCTACTGACGTGCATTGATATATACATATGGCTGTGTTACCACAATAATGCTCACAACTTCAACTTCTTTCTAACAATATAGTTGTGCAGTTCTGACTGTTCTGAGTATGATCTTATTCATTCAGAAATATAAGCATTGCACTGTATTCAATGGCAAGCTATCCTGGATTCCAGAGCCTTCAGTTAGTAATAAATTGAAATATCGTGAAGGCTCTGGTTCAACGGGAGGATTCTTTGATTAAACTGTGCCAATCACAAAACAGAATTAGCAGTTTTAGTACAGATTTTGGGCGTGTTAACCCATTAAGCGCCAGCGCTCTCCCCTTGACGAGTAAAATCGTCTGGCGTTAGACAGAGTAAAATACTCTGGCGTTAGACAGAGTAAAATACTAAAGTAG